TATGATTTTAACAATATTAGCTGTTCTTACAAGTATACTCTTGTCTAGTGTTTTTATCATGATGTTTGTTCATAATTGTAAATTAAGATGTCATAGTTGTTAGTGCTTTTGTGGTGAAGATCCTGAAATGTTCTGTTTGTTTTGTTGGTGATAAAAGGTTTTGGCAACCCGTAGAGTAGCTATAGTCTAGTAGTGCATATGGTGGAGTGGAGGGCCCCCACAATGCCTTTTTTTGCACGCCTAAGTGAGGTTGCCCAAGTGTTAGATTGACCCAACTATTTATATTCAAAGGAAATGGTGACGGATGGAATGGCCACCATGCCGTGCATTGTAACTATTTTCATGCCGTGCATTGTAACTATTTTCTCTTCATATATCAATAGGTGAGTCATTGTGTGCCTTGTCTTATAGATCGAGTGGAGTAGCGACGACGTTTCAGCCTAACGTAGCTGGTGTAGGTTTCTTTCCACACAATTCAAAGGTCATCTTAGTGGCAGTCGCCAAGTTGAGGTGAGAATAGACTTAGGTGAAGTTTTGTGAGGTTCCTCGTGTTTAAGCCTAGTGTTGTGCTTGGTGTTAGTTTGGATGCTTAAAATGTAACTTGAAGTCATGGAGGCTCTGTAGTCTTGTTTTGTTAGCCTATGTGTTCCTGTAACCTTAAAGGCTTTGATGTGGATCTTAATGGCTTTGGATTAGCCTAACATAGTGGTCTAGATGATCTAATAATAGGAGTGTATCAAATGTTCTTCTGGTCACACAAGTCGAATGACATATTCTATAATATGGTGCAAGTGACCAATTTGTGAGGATCATGGCTTACAGATGCTCTAGGCTAGTGCCTATAAGGACATGTTAGTTTTGGAGGTTGTTTCATGGCGGTTTTGTCATGCTTCTTTGGTGAACCTTTCATGATTGACACAATGTTGCTTTCTTCAGAAATATGATGTTATGATGCATAAACGTTAGTGGTTGGTGTGGCATGGACTTTCCTAAAGGCATATACCAATGGGATGAAGGTGTGATGCTATGTTGGTGTGAGTCTACAAACATGGTGGTAGCTGACCTAGTGGTTCTTGTTGTTTGAGTGATGCTTGAGTCAGGGGAAGGTCTAAGACATTCTGGCTTTGATGTTGGAGAACTTGTTCTGGCATCACTTTGGCGGTTCTTCATGAGACTTAAGTGCTTTGCTTTTCTCTCCTACTTGCTCTCATGGATCGAGTGGAGCTAAAAAAGTGAAGCTAATTCTTAGCTTGAAGTTTTAGGTTGTAGTGGAGGTATGAGTAGTTATTATTCTAGGATCTTTGGTGAGAAGGTTAAACCAAGTATTCCAAGTAAGTAGATTATTTGGATTAAAGTTTTGATGTGCAGTTGGACACACATGCTAAATGAAGTGTTTGGCATGATTACTATTGCTATACGAAAGAGGTTTGTTCCCTTGGCAATGTGAGATCATGTGGTTGGAGCTGCAGGTGAAGAAAGCAAAATGTTTGGATATTGTTGTTCCAATGGATCCATATGTGATTCCTTACTCGGTTTTGTTTTTGCTAGTAGCAAAGGTGGTCTAATGTTTTGCCATTTTCTTCAAGAAGTGAAAAGGTAAGGTTTGGAGAAGAGGTGTTATAAGCTTAGTTTTAGCGGTAAGCGTTGTGTTATTTTGCGCCATGTTGGCAAGAATGTGTGGTTATTGTGCAATTTTTTCCTATAGTGAAGGTTGCCCCTTGTCACCATGGTTTGAAGGATGTTCATTCTTGAAGAACGAGATGTTATAGAATGAGAATACTCCCTCCATGCTTTAAAAAAGTTCGTTCTGGAGGTTTGGATAGTTTTCACAAAGGAATTCGTTCTAGCTGGTTTACCATAACTGAGACGAGTTTGCTCTGCGGCCTCGCATGCAGTCTTTAACGGCCTCCTTTGTTTCCCATGCATGCAAAAATCGCCACGCATGCAGTCATAATCGCGGATCTGTTGTTTCCCGTGCATGCAAAAATCGCCACGCATGCAGTCATTAACGTGGCCTTTTCGTTTCCAGCGGATGCAAAAATCACCTAAAAAGACAAATGAGCGAGGGATCGAACCGTGTCCGCTCGCCTAAGAGGCGACCTTGGTAACCAATAGGGTTCAGACGGATATTTGTTTAATGGATGGCCAAGATGCTATTTAATAAAGGCAAACAGGGAAAATAGACCCTAATTAATCACTCCTTGGTATCCCAAATCATGTCCAAAACGAACTTATTTCTGGGATGGAGGGAGTACATATTATGACACACTTGAGAAGTGTACTTTCTATCTTTTTGAGGTTGTTTTCTTGGCATGATATTAACCAGAATGGTGCTACTATTGATCCAAAGAATGTTAGTGGTGGAATAGTAGAGATCAACTACTGCCTCAGAGGTTTTGAGTTTTCTTGGACTTGTTGGATATTATCATCGATTTGTTTAGGATTGATCTAATACTGCTAAGCCTATGTCAAAGTCATCTATGAAGGGTACTCCATTTGTTGGGATTGTTGAGTGTGAAAGGGTCATTCACACTCTAAAGTAGAGATTAGTGAATGCTCTGATTTTAGTTTCTTCTTGAGTGTGGCAAATGTTTTACAGTGTATGTGATGCTCTCATAATAATCTCGGACTTCTGGTTCTATGCTCATCAGGGAATGTAGGGTGATCGTTTATGCATCTAGTCACTTTAGGAAGCATGAGGAAATTTATCCTAGAGATGATTTGGAGTTAGATGTAGTGGTATTCGCTTTGAAGAATTAGAAGCATTGTCTTTATGGCGAACCCTGTGATATCTTCATAGGCCATGAGTTTGTATATATTTAATAAGGAACAGCTAAACTTGACACCTGGGATATGAATAGAGTTGATAAAGGATTATGATTTGGCTATTATTTAGTATCATCTTTTTAAGGCAGAAGTTATTCTCTCTAAAGGACAGGTGTCTCTAAGGCATGCATACCATGGATTGTTGACTTGGACCAAATCGTTATTTTTCCTCTATTATGTTGGTGTTGCACACAAGGACTTAGTTATTGATTCAGTCACCATTGTGGGAGCATGTGAGAGTGATACAAATGAAGAATTGCTTGTTCAGGCTTTCCACTAGCATTGAGGCAGGTAAACCCCTTGAGTTTTGTACGTAGGAGAATGGCACTGTTTACCTCAAAGGCCATCTTTGTGTTCCACAAAAATGCTGAGAGGAAGATGAAGACTTTAAGGAAACCGTATTCTCGATATACATTATATCCTAGTGAGAATAAGATGTATAGATATTTGAAATAGAGTTTTTCATGCAAACAGATGAAATAAGTTGATATTTCAGATACGTAGCATCATGTAATTTATTTGTTCTAGAAAGGGAAGGTTGAACATTGGAGGCTTGCTAGGTTACTAGAACCATTGGAAATTCTAAGTGGACATGGGAATGTATTACTATGGAATTTATAGTTGGTTTACCTCTGTTGACTCGACTAAGGGATGTTATATGGGTTGTTGTAGGTAGACTCACCAAATTTCCACATTTCATTCCTATAAAAGCAACTTAATCTACACCACATTTGGTTCCCTTATATATTAAGGAAGTGTTGAGACTACATGGTGTGCCAAACCCAATTATTTTAGCTCAAAAACCAACATTTGTTTTCTTTGGCAAAGTATACCAAGTGCCTTGAACACAATTCACACACTTAGTACTGGTTTTCACCCACAAATGGATGGTCAATCAGAGTGTACCATTCAGACCATAGAGGTCATGGTTTGTGCTTGTGTTCTTTCTTGGGGAGGTAGTTCGAAGGATCATTTAGCTTTAGTAGAGATTGCTTATATATAGCAATAGTTACCAAGCTAGCATCAAGATGGCTCCATATGATGCTTTATATGGAAGAAGAGGTATCTCTCAATTATGTTGGGAAACTTTGGGTGAGGTGTCTTTGGTTGGTCAAGATTGGATTAAAGTGACATCTAAGAAGGTGCAAGAAATACGAAAAAATTATTGTCTACTCGAAGTCAACAAAATAGCTACGCAAATGTTAGAAGGCGAGACCTAGAATTTGCAATGGGTGATCAGGTACTTCTCGAAGTATCACCAACCAAAGGTATTGTGAGGTTTGGTACTATAGGAAGCTTAGCCCAAGGGACATTGGTCCATTCGAGGTCACAGCCTAGGTCAGAAGTTTGGACTACCGTTTGCGGGGGAGTGCATAATGTCTTTTATATTTCTGGAGCACAAGATTGATCTAGAGCCAATTAGAGTGGAGCAGGACTTGACAATTGAATGCTAACCAGTCTGCATGTTGGGCTCGTCAGAGATCGTCATAAGGAGAACTATCACATACGTTAAGATTCTATGGACTAACTAGTCAAAGCAAGAAACAACTTGGGGGCTTATAGTGCAAATATACAAGAAGTATCCAGAACTCTTTACGACCGGATGGGTTACGTGAAGGGGTGGCTTTTGGCGGCGGTGGTCGGTCACCCCCTGAGTCGCCCCGAGAAGACGATTCGGGGTTCTCGCGGAGCGGACTGTGAGGTTTGATCAAGGTCATCTTTAGGTAGCGATCTTTCTATTGAAACCGGGTATAGAGAAATATAAATTTAATTTGTAAATGGATCGTATTGTTGTCTCACATCCTTTTTCTTTACATGAAAAAATGACTGATCGGATTCTAAAATTTTGAAATGCAAAAAGATGCATTAGTTTGTTTAATAGCCTATTATGTCATTGAGATAATCAAATTTCACTGTATCACTTTGTCCTTCAATTTAGTACTTCTTTTGGCAAAGTTGTAAAAATTTTCATCATGATTTATCCCCGTATGATCATCTTATTACGTTGAAATTTTTTTGCCTCCGTGGCAGCGCACTGACACAGACCTAGTTTACACATAGGCATCTAACTATCCATTCACAGCAAACATCCATTTTTATTCCGCCTATGAACAGCAATCCACAGTCCATGTCTTCATGATAGTGCGAGAATCCGGCAAATGTATGAGTGGATATTAGAGTGGATTGTTAAGTATCCAGCGGCTGAACATGGCAAAACACCTCTCCGGCTCATACTCCGGCGCCGTGTGCCCAGCACCCTGCAATTCCAATGCAAATCCATTCCAGTTGGTGACAAGATACCTGATTAACATAAAGATGACATCAACAGACCAAATGTGAATGCTCGAGAAAGTACTTTGATTGTCGCGAACGTCATGTTGTTGGAGTAACTTATCGTGAACCTGCACAAAGTAAGAACAGAGGTGCATGAATAATGAATCATCCGCGACGAACAGAGAGAAAAATAGAAGGTTTGGCAACAATCAGATATAACTATCTAAGAGGCTGAAGAGGGCAGGAGGAAGATTAAATACCCACCCGGCGGCTTGGCCACCGAGATGCCACGCCCTCCACTCGTCGACGATGGGGAAGTTGAGCGACCTGACCCAGGCCTGGGTGCCCAGGTGTGGCACCAGCAGGTCATGGTCGCCGCTGCAACCAACCATAAAGCATATGCCATTCAATTCAACATGCATGTCATCAGGAGACAGATTTATCAGAAAATTGCAGGGGTGCCTTACCTGTATACCAGGGCGCGGTAGCCTCTGGACGTCAGGTTCCGGTGGTACTTGATGGCACTCTTGAGGTCTTTCGTGTAAGGCAGATCTCCGTCGTGGCACCTCACCCACTCGTCCACTGTTCCCTGATCAGTTTAGTGATCGGTTTGCTTTAGCCTAGTTTGATTCTCATTAATTGCTGACAACAACAATGTTACTAACACTGAAATGACGAAACCAACAATGTTACTCACCTTCTTGATCCCAAGAGCTTCTCGAGTGCGTTTATCATTTGCCCAGAAATACGACAGGTAGTAGCCGTAAGTCTGCAGCACACAATGACAGATATATAAGGTTACAGATAAATGAAAACAAGTCATTTTTATGTAGTACAGAACTGATCAGGTGCTTTATTTATGGATGATGTGGACTCACGATGCAACCAAATGGAGGACGAGCTGGCGGATGATTTAGCATCCCTCTTCCCATCTCCGCCCTCAGGATCCTCCTACCATCTGGGCCGTCCATTCTGCTGACGACATTTGGTGCAGGAGAAGCGTACACGCACCTGTCCAGTAAAATTTGGGATTTCTGAACTTCGTTGATGAGCTGCACAAGGCAGTGTAACCATTAGTAAGTCAGGCATTAGGTCATGTGGAACGATAATCAACAAACGACAAGCGACAATTAACCATGTAAATTGAAGCATACATAACAGCGTATTTGCAGGTACTAGCTACCATACATTCAGAAGAAGCTTACACTGTTGAAAGTATCCAGAGCCTGAGCACACAGTGCATTTGCAGGATTAGTGTAGTCCTCTCCTTGGCAATGCCCCAATATCGTCTAAATGCAAATAGTAGCAGAACAATAGCGTTAGAGAAAGAATATGCACTGCACAGTACAGTGACGTGCACTTAATTAAACTGCGCTAAAATTGTATACAGAATTGCAGATGGGAGTGGAAGAGCTAGATGATCTTAGTTAATACCTCATACAATTGATCTGATATAATACCAACTCCATGAGCATAGGGCACTTTCGAAGTAGAATCAATACTTTCGCCGGTGGCTGCGTTACCAACCAGATAGCCCTAAGAGGATATAGAACAACAAAAGAACATCTATATCATCAGGCTAAGTCACCGACTAGAAAAGTTAATTGCATGGTATTTTCTTTGGCTATAGACTAACTAATATCCCCTTCCATTTTGGAGAAAATTGTATGATGGGCATACCTTCAAATTAGGAAAGGGTCTCCTTCCAACCTCAATACCTGAAGAGGTCAAGCACAACTAGCTGATCAGTACATGAATCACCTCAAAGACCCACCACAATAGCCGTATATGATGGAGAATTGCCAAACTGAACTGGTTGTTACTTTTCTGTAGCAAACAGATCAATCAATACCTTCTGAAATCATCTGCCCAAGGAATGGTACAATTTTCCCAGCATTAGAGTCTCCACCAATGTAGAAAGGATTCGCTAGGTACTCGGGATGATCACTAAACCACTGGGAACCAATGAAATATACATTAATAAACATTAAAAGATTCCCAACTAACTTTATGCAAGTGATTGATTAAGGCCCTATTCGATTAATTCCATACCAACGGGATTGGAGTGGATCGAAGGGGATTTAACCCCTTTTAACCTCTTCAATCCTTTTTGATCCCTACCAAACTGAACAAAGCCTAAAGACTTGTTCAGTTAATCCACAATGAAAGGGAATTGGAGATCCCCAATCTCCTTGGATTGGGTCCTTCGATTCCCTTGAAATGAACATTAAACGAACAAATGGGAGGCGATTTATTCAGCACACACCTTGATGAGGAAGTCACGTAGCTGCAGTGTGGACGAGATGTCTCCGACATCATAGCCTTTAGGATCTCTGGAAAAGGAAAATCCAGCTCCAACCGGTGAATCGACAAAGAGGATATGTGACACCTACATGCAGAGTGAGTGATTTAACAATCAACTGCTGCTACTCAATTAGACTGAAACACTAGCAAGTATGTAGCAAGAGAAATATAGTACTTGATCCACCACCAAGCTACCCAGCTTAACCAGTTAAATACTTCTCCAGTTTTTGCTAATAGTTTTCATCAGTATCACCATTTGAGGAGTGTTTTCCATCTTTTATCACCAGACTAGTCAATGACATGTACACGTGGAATACCTAGTCCTATTTCACCACTAACACAGACATCTAATCATGTATCCGAACCAATCCCATATTTTGATTTCACCGAGTCGGAATGCAACACGTATAGTATCAAATGATACAAATGTACTCGCAAAAAAAGATGATAGAAATGTAGATAGTCAGATGAGACCTGATCCATATAATATTGGTTGGGAATATTTCTTTGGTATTCAGTAAAAATAACAAGAAAAAGCGACAATTAGAATTAGCTATTTAGTCTAACAATTTGTCTTTAAAATGAAGTCAACTTTTAAAACCACATTGAAATAATCTTTTTAAGAACTATTTGGATTTGAAATTGGCTTAAATTTTCATTCAACTCCTTTTAGTATTTTCCTTGAATCCAAAACTTTTAGATAAAAGTTGAGTTCATATGCAATTATATATCATTTGTATCGAAAAAAAAGAAATTATATATCGTTAAGATTTTTTATTTTTGCAATGTTTTAGTCAATTTAAAATTTATTGTTTATATATATTTTAATTCATTAAAATATTTTGAAGTTAGAATTGTAAATTTGACCTTTTCCCTTATTTTTATTTATTAGATTATTTTGATAAGAATTTTAAATAGAGTTGAAATCTAAAATTAATAATGCTTTTTAAAAAATATAAGTAACTTTTGGTATAACAAAGATGTAACTCTCTACTAAAATGGGCTAAAAACTGGTATGGGCCATGATAAAATTGGGCTAAAAAATAACTATCTTGATATGATATCTGACAAGCTACATATTATCTAATAAATTTTTTGAAAATTCGACAAATATGCAATATAATCTTTATTTAGTATGATATCTGACACTCTACGAGCTCGCCTCTATAATTCTAAGCGCGCTATTAGTACATGAATCATTTTTAAAGACGGACATTTTCTATTAACAAAGACTAATGGTATACGCCCTGTTCGCTTGGCTTATAAGCCGTACTTTTTAGCCAATGAACAATATTTTTCTCTCACAACAAATCAACCAACAATACTTTCAGCCATGACTTATCAGTCAAGCGAACAGGGTATTAATGGGCAGTTTACAAATGTTGTCAGCCTGTCCACCTAAGATGTTTGTCTTTGTCAATGGTTTCCAAGAAAAACCAAAGTGTCTTTCAACATTTAAATCCATGACATTCAATACATACAACACCTTCATACCACTGCACTACACAATCGTTTGTTATATGTTTTTATTAACATTTTGTGATCTTGTGTTGAATATTTCAGTCCATAAACGATATCAAATGAAAAAAGTTAACTATGAAGTTTTATTTGTCGAGCTCTACAATGTTGATTATAGGGTGCGGCCATCAAGATAGTTTGAAAATTTAAAAAAATAAATCTTAGTCTAAGAATTTTGTTACAAATATTAGAGACTTTAAATATTTTCGAATAAAAAAATTTGTCAACTGCAAAGTTGTAAATTGTGTTGAGAAGTACAACTTTGATACAGATTATATCAATGTCCAATGTCGTTTGAAATTTCTAAACTTTAAATTTTGAAATCTTATAACTTAAAATGAGTATTTAGCAATACGAATGACTTTAAATTAAAAACTTGTTGAGAAGTACAACTTTTATGTAGACCGTGTTAATTGAAGTTTCAAAATCTGAGAGCTTAAAACAAAATTTTTATGCTATAAATAACTTCAAATAAAAAATTATCAACTACAAAGTTGTATACCGCTTTGATGTCTAGAATTCTAGTATAAAGTTTTCCTTCATTTGAATTCATATGAAAAAGTCATAAATGTTTTAGACAACTATTCCTAGAGACGGACCCTTATTACTAGAGGCAGGCCCTAAGGATGCCCTCCTCGGTTAATCGATTTAGAATGCCCTCATTCGTTAATCGATTAACAGAGACATACGTCCTAGGATGTCCGTTTCTGTTATAGGAGCATTAATTATCTAAGAATGCCCACCCCTAAAAATGATTAACAGAGGTTATAGGAGCATTAATTATCTAAGAATGCCCACCCCTAAGAATGCCCACCCCTAAAAATGATTAACAGAGGTTATAGGAGCATTAATTATCTAAGAATGCCCAGCCCTAAAAATGATTAACAGAGGTTAATCAGGTGCCTATCTCCTAAAGTTCTTTCTGTATGAACTTAACAAATTTTAAATTAAACATCTTGACCCCTAATGATTTCAATCAAGTACAAAGTTTTAGACCTTATCAAGCACTACAACAATGATATATGACATGTCTCCATCCATGCTCATTTGAAAAAAACAAATGTTTCAATTTCAAAATCTTAATAAAACATAAAATGTATATTTGGATCTAAAATAACTTTATATGGAAAGGTCTTTAATTAACCTATTCCTAGGCTAAAAAAACATTTATACAGGTGGACTGTGACTGCCCCAGTAAATTATTCGAACAGGGTAAATAAAATATTAAGGCCCTATTTAGGTCCCTTGGACTAACAACTAGTTGACTAAACTTTAGCCCTTAAGGATCTAAACAGAAAGACTAATAGGTGGGCTAAAGTTTAGCCAAAGCATCAACTAATTGTTAGTTCACTAATCCATAGAACTCAACTATCAGGCGTAACAACTAGTTCTAGTCTATAGAACCCAACAATTACTTCAGTATCCAAACAAGTATGCACTAACAGCTAGTTAGCTAATTTTTAGCTGGCTATTTTCTAGCGCTGACAACTACTCCAAACGGGGCCTAAGAAAATAGAGCACATGCATTACGTATATCGGCCCGCTTATTGATGTCAGAATATCGGTCCAACCTTAATATTTTACAGCATTACTTCCTTCACTCTATTTCCACGGTCTCCAAGGTATAGTTTCAAACATCACCTTACATACCTTGTACATACAAAAATTATGAAAACATTTTGCGATGATAACCTAGTCACAAAAAATTGTTTACCCAATCATTTCGTTGGACATGAAAAGTTAAAAGGTTGGACAGCGATGGATCACCAGAAAAATAACCAAGGGGTAGAATATATACTAGTAGTGGATAGAAAAAAAATAAAAGGATAAGGTGACATATCATTATTGCAGTTATGAGCCATGTTCGCTTCTCTTATAATTTGTATTTTTTAACTTATTTTTCAGTTGAAATAATATTTTTCTCTCATAATAAATCAATCGAAACAGTGTTTCTAGTTTGTTTGTTGAGCGAAACGAACGGAGCCGATATATCCGTCAACATCACACGTAGTAAAAGAAAACTGTTCTTTACAAACGTTATTACTATAATAGTTTCTCTTATATAATACTATAAATAACTGTACTGTGTGTCAAATCAAACAAAAGAAAAAAAAAGTTGCGTATCGTATTGGTACTTTTTTTATGGAAGGATCTGGAGCGGCATAAGACCCTACAGTATTTTTTTTATTAAAACAAAAAATGGGATCGTGTTGGTACTCGGTAGAAGTGAAGAAGGCAAAGAGAGATTTACCTTTGACCACGAGTTTTGGTTGAATCGCAGGCGCGGCAGGGTGCCGTCGTAGGGCTCTAGGACGAATCTGATGGGACCTGCAATGCGAGGCGAGCGCATCCAGCATCTTCTTGCTCAGTTTAGACAGTGCAAATCAAAGTCGGTCGCTGCAACTGCATGCATCTTCTTACCAATCTCGTAGGCAAGGCCGCTGAGGACGGAGCAGCGGTCGCCGCCGGTGAGCCAGAAGAGGAAAGGGGCGTCGCTGCCGGCGCCGGACTCGGACCGGACGAAGTAGTAGAAGAGCTCCACGCTGGCGTCCTCGTCCACCTCCACGTACCTTTAAATTTACTTTCCAGTTTCAGAGCAACAGCAATTAATAAATCCTAAATGTGCCCTGAGCTAGTAGTACACCAGGACGATGAAGACGACGACGACGACGACGACTAGAAAGAACTAAAAAGGTAGGCACGCCACGCACCCTGTTTCGAGGTGGAAGGGGAGGTCCCCGTCGAAGCCAGGCAAGCTGGTGACCACACGCCCGGCGGAGGAGATGGAGGCGAAGGCGACCACCAGGAAGCAGAGGAGGAGGAAGAGACAGCGGGAGCAGAGGCCGTGCCCGAGCGAGCGGAGGCATCCAGGCTGCAGGAGGCGGCGTGGGCGAGGCCGTGGCCGTGGCCATGCCGCCGTCGTCATCTGGTAGACGTACTTGCAGCTCAGTAACACAGTTGCCGTCGCACGGTCGCAGTTGTAGCCTTGTAGGTGGGTGGAACAACGATGGCTGGATGGAGAAAGAAATCAAGTAGCCATCTGTTCCGGGACGCCACCAGACCAGAGCAAGAAGAAAGAAAGAAATGGGTGTGTTCGTGTGGATGGTTGGTGTGAGTGACGGAAGCTGTACTACTCTATATTTACTTTCCTGCGTCCTTAAATCTTTGTCGCCACTGTTTATATGCCGATAATTTTGACTCGGCCCTGGTGGTTTAGATTGCCTCAAAATTTCCAGTTTTTTCTCTCTCTCCGTCACATCATTTTTTGACGTATGTATAGAGCATTAAATGTAGGTAAAAAAATAACTAATTACACAGTTTGGTTGTAAATCACGAGACGAATCTTTTGAGCCTAGTTAGTCCATGATCGGACAAAGTTTATCAAATACAAACGAAACGTGCTACAGTGTCCAGATTGCAAAATTTTACAATCTAAACGATGCCTCGATTTATAGAAAATACTTACACCACTTCTATCTCCAAATAAATTTATTAAAAAACTAGATTCAAATATCTATCTAATGATACTAATTATGTATCATAAATATTAATATTTTTAAATATATATTTAGTTAAAGTTGTTTCTCGGAAAATGAAAACGATAGGTATTTAGAGACGGAAGTATGTTTTTATATATAATAGATATAATATATTATTTGTTTCTCCTATATTATATTTTTATTACACATAATAATTTAGAGCACTCCCAGTAAGCTGAACAAGCATTCGTTTGCTTGAGCTCCTGCTCCAGCTGTGCTGGTAGCTCTGACACCGAAACCAGAGGATCCACACCAAACACCTACGGATGGAGGAGCCCTAAGCGGAGGAGTCGGAGCCGTTAGGTGTACGGAGGTAGAGCCACAGGTGTATGAAGGTCCTTTGGGCTTGAGCTCGGGCTCCGACGGAGCAATAATGCAGGGAGGGCCCTTCTAAACACGTCCTAACTGATGCTCGAAGGGAGGACAATATACTTAGGCTATGTTCGGCTTTCATTATAAATCGGTTTATTAATTATAATGTAGTATTTTTCTCTTTCAATAAACTAGTCGTACAAATCAGCACAATTGACTTATAGACCAGCCGAACAAAACCTTAAGTATTCATTTTCGACACCACAGAACGGATGCTTCATCTCTCTAAGATCATGTTTGGTACGGTTTCGTACGGGTTTTGTCTTTGACTCCAACTGTGACTGTGGAGCCGGTGAGCCGCACTATACATTGGGTCGTTTGGGAGAGCTTTAGCTTCTCGAAGAGAATCACTTCCAATTAGCCAAATGCTCAAAATGCTAACGGGTTTAGGTGGTGATTAGAGAGAATCATTTCTCCATTTACACTAATAGCTAGGAGCTAAAAAAAACCTACTTTATCCTGCTCCTTGTTATATTCTCGTGAGGATCCACATAGAATCCATCATCATCAGCTCTCCACCCTACTCCCTCCTAATAGGAATATAATATAATCATTCTATCAGAGAATTAAGAAACAGAGCTGAAGAATCAAGGAGTAAAGCTTTCCCTAACAGGACCAAAATGGTCAGAGCTTACGTCCAGAACAGAGGAGCCTCACATACAACGGGCGTTCCGGAGCCGTCTCTGTGTTGTAATTTTTACAAAAATACGCCTAGAAGACGCGCGAGACAGCGAGGTCGTCGCCTCACGAGGCAACGGCGCGGGCTCATGCTCCCATGCCCTGCGTCGATGTAGTGATGGCTTGGACAAATCCCGAGTGACTGTACAGCAACACGCCGTTTCCATGGGAGAAGAAGGGACGCCGGCACGGGAGAAGAAGATGTGCACCGGCACGGGAGAAGAATGCAGCGGCCGAAGGTAGCAAGGGGAGCGGAGGACCAACCGTTGCCCCTTGACGTACGAGTACGACACGAACTCGCCTCCGCCACGATTGTCCGCTCGAACTTAAGAGTCGTACCATTTTAGCGAAATAATTTGTTTTCCTTTCATAATAAATCAGCATCAGTATAAATCATTTTTTCAGTCAGCCGAATAGGACGGACAACCCTGTTCGCTTATCTTATAAGTCATACTTTTTTAACGAATAAATATTATTTTTCTCTTACGATAAATCAGCCAACAATATTTTTCAGCTTATCTTTTCAACCAAGCGAAAGAAAACATGCGTGAGGATAGAGATGAATGGATGGATATGGCCGCACACGATGACCACCAGGAACTGAAAGCGACAAGGAATCTTTTCATCTATTTTCCCCTCTATTTTTAATATTTCTTTAGTGTTACATGGAGGAGCAGAGGCCTTGCAATTATCTATTATGCTCATAGTTACGAAGAAATATTGTAGTTATGAACGATATTTCTAGTATGCGTTAACCCTTTTTATCAATAATTGAGAGGCAACAAAATAATATACAAGAGATATTCTTCATACTTGATCATGATTGTGTACATGAATTAAATAGTTTAGGGACAGCCAAATTGATAAACCATCGTACAAATGTCTGCGCGCGAGTTTCTAACAACCTAGAGACAGCACGTTGTCTATAGGTTGGACATGCCTAAGCTTTTTTTATTTTTAACTGCCTAAGTATAGGAGTTAAAGTCTAGAGGTGTCATATTGGGTGTCAAATCGAGTATCATATATGAGTGTTTGATAGTAATAATAAAATAAATTACAAAAGTCTTTAGTACTCCACGAGATGAATTTTTTAAGCCTAATTAATTAATCATTAGCACATATTTACTATAGCTTTAATGTAGTACCATATTATCAAATTATAGACTAATTAGGCTTAGTAAATTCGTCTAGCAAATTAATCACCGTTTGTATAATTAATTATTTTTTTAGTCTATATTTAACACTCTATATATTATGTCTCCAACATTCAAAACGAGACAAGCCTATGGATACGGACCTGCTGTCAGGTGCTCTGGATTCGCCCGCGGAGCTGACGACAGAGAAGCCCCAAACTCCCTCTAAAATCTAGCATTGGGAAATCTAGATGCATCGATGCTCGCCATTCCAATCGAACAAAATAAAATTTCTTTTGCCTTCCAATATCGTGCGAAAAGAACACAGAGGAAATGGTTAAATGATTATTGGCTTAGATTGGATTTTTCATTTTTTTTATGGGCACCGTCTTGATACGTTGCTACCCAGAACAAAGTTGGAAAGGACATTTGATACACTGCAGGTGCTCTTATATATAATTTTTTTAACACTTTCTGTAAACTAATTTTAAATCTAACACTGTTTAATTTTTTTCACAAAATTAACATTTTTGCCCGTGCCTATTTTCCTAGAGCGGCGAAACGCCTGTTCCGCGCCATACATGGTAGCGCGGCGAGAGAGGTGACGTGGCGACAACCGGGGCGCTGACCGGTGACGTGGCAGGGTCTGCCGCGCCACCGATCTTGGCGCGGCACTGACGCGACAAGGCCCACGGCGCGGCAGGACCTGGACGCAACATTAATAAGGCTTGTGCCCATTCCTTTAGTGTGGAGTACTGTATCTATAATACTCTGATATAAAGCTAAACATCACTAGACAATTTTTCTCTTCATGCAAGGTGTCCACGTCATATCCCACTAAGTCACTCACTGAATGTTCTATCTCTTCATGCAAGATGACATTATTCCCACTAAACCCATATCATTCCTTATTAATGACAAAAAATATCCACGTCGTCTCTATCATGTACGGCAAAAGCAATTAAACATAGTGTTAGTGGGATTGAGATGACGGATGGCCAGGATCAACACAGTTACTTAAGATCGGATGACTGAAAATTAGTGATGGCATGGCTTCACCAGAGAAGAGAGAAATAGCAGTTAATGATACATTCCATCTATATAGGTCATATATATCCAATAAAAACTCCCCCATTCTTCGTCTCTGTCTCCGAAGAGGAACGGGTGGAAGGTCATCCTATTCTTCTCTCCTGTAGAAAACATTTTTGCGCAAATCACTGTAAGCTCTCCTTATCCTCAGGTGATTTCTATCGATTTCTTTTATTTAGATAGTCGAGGAAATTCCTTTAACCTATACATCATTAGAGTTTTGTGCTTTTGTTTCTTCCGTAACCTAGCTGTCCCCCTTGTTAGTTCTATTTTTTCTAATCTCTCTCTCTCTCTATGTGTGTGAGATGATCGTTCATGTACTTTGTTTTTCCCTCTATAATGCATTTAAGTTTCTTAAAGAATAGGATGTCGAATTGTTAAAAGAGGGAGGATTGGAGGAAATTGGACAGGTCATAGCACAAAGAAACGGTAAAAAGCAAAGTTTTTTTATGCAGGTACGGTACCAAGATGAGAAAACCTTCCAAGGGATGCAAGGAGAGGGATGCGAATTACCACCGGAATGGTCACACAGATGACCATGGCAAGCATTTCTTGAAGATATTGATTGTTGATTTCCATAAAAGATTGGTGAGCAATTTTCTTGCACACTGTGTTTCCGGCTATTCAGCTTGTGGAATACTGGAATGTGGTAATTATCATCTAAAAAGTGAAGTGAAGTAAGCTGCATCTGTACCAAAAATGCGGCGGCTGTTTCGGGCACCAGACTTTTGGCAGCCTGTGGCGACCAAATGAATTGACGAGCTGTGTGAAAGTGTAACACCCAAAATTTTTCATTCTTTTAAAATAAGTAAATTTGGTTTAATTATGTTATTAAGTGTGCATTCAATTATAGGAAACTAATAATTTTTGGGGAATTAAAATCAATTATAAGATTTGAAACTTTTGATGCATACATGTTGCTGCAATATTTATTCATGTGATGATTGTTCTTGAATTAGAGTTCAAATGAATTCAAAAATTATTTGAAAATGCCTTTGGGAAAATTTGTTTGGAAAATAAAAAGGAAAAATGAACATCTCCTCCCCATCCTTGTTTTCGCCCATGAGCTATTCCACAGCAACTGCTGGCCCACTCCCTCTTCCCTTTCCGCTCGG